TATGTGTCTGGAGATCTTTCTCTTTCGAGCCACGTGTGCAAAATGTTGGTGACATGTTTTTGAAGGTCAAGAACAAATCCAAGAACAATGCATAAAAAACGGCATCATAAAAGTATTTTAGGTATTTTCAGGATTCTATTATGCTTCATACAAAAGGTAGTGAGTCGAAGTAGTTGCGGCCGGTTTCAAATGAAAGTTTCTTTTACCGTAAAACAACACATACACTTTGTGGTCATGTCAAATGCCCCCCTCCCCCATGCACACATAAACATACACACACACACTGTGACACGCACACAGGCGCACACTTACCGACTTGTACGACATCCTGTCAGTTAATTTGCGCTTTGTACCTAGTGTAGTTGTAGCCGTTTTGAAGTAAAACTTTACTTGAAATTTCACCATAGAACACAATGCACTTCGCTCTGTCACGTCAAAACGCCCCCCTCCCCACGCACACATAAACACACACACACACACACACTTACCGACTTGTCCGACATCCTGCCAATTAATTTGCAGAGCTAGGAATCAATGATGGCAAACACCAGATGACAAGTAATGGCTGGGCGATGGCGGGTCATTACATTTGTTTCAACAATGGCGTCCCAGAAACGAGCACCGGGGATCAGCATGCGAGTGCACCGGCTGTACTCTCCAAGCAGAGGTTTGGGTTACTTTTGGCGTGTTTTTAGGCTTTTCGGGCTGGGTGAAAAAAATCCAGTACAAAAAAGAACCCCCGATAAAAAAGCCTAAAACACGCCAAAAAAAACCAAACCTCTGCTTGGACATTACACCGTCAGTACTCAAGTCTCGTAGGGGTGAAGGTGTACGATTTATGTTTGTCGTACGATTTTTCTTTTGTCGTAAAATTTGTTCGTCGTACAAATTTTTTTGTCGTGTGATTTTTTATCGTGCGATTTCATTTTGTCGTAAGGTTTTGTCACACAATTTTTCTTTTGTAGTACACTTTTTATCGCACGGATTTTCTTCTGTAGTACGATTTTTGTCGTACGATTTTTCCTTTGTTGTGCGAGTTTTTGGTGCGAGTTTTTTGTCGTACGATATTTCTTTTGTCGTACGACATTCACGAGGCTATGACAACCTTTTTCATCACAGAACAGCTGTATTTTTCTTTCTACGACACACCCACGACTATCCCAAGAAGTTCCTGTCGTAAAGTCATCGTACTACAACCGTGACCAGGTCCTAGATCATGAAAAAACGTAGCAAAACTCTAATCGCTATAAAATTACAAACAGTAGTAAGCAAATTTTGCGGTGAAACAATATATTCAGGAAAACCCGTGCCATGTGGCGAAGCATGCAAACAAGCGAAGGCCACGACGTCAGGACGTTTGCACATGAATATTTAATCTGATGATTATGAGCTTCAAAGGGAAAGCTCTCCCCCAGCCAGCTGGCATAATTATGAAATATTGAAGCATTCATAACATTTGCCATTGCCCTAAGCCATCGGTATTACGCCTGGATTATGTGTACTACGAAAGACGAATATCCATGACCCTTCCGTTTGCCAACGACTGGGAGCAACAGTAGTCTCTACCAGACTAAATACGCTGGCTACTAGTACTAGTATATAGGAGAATATTTGCCGGGGGAGTTTGGCTGCCTTGGGGTTTGACTGGCCATTTTTTCGGAGGGAAAGAAACAACCTTCCGCGGCCGGACTCCCCTGGCCAATTTTACTCTCCTTTTTGCCGAATTCTACGATCCGTATTCCCGTAGAAAGGCCTGGTGGAGGCTAGGAGCAACAGGTGCAAGATTCAAACCTGTAGCGTTCTCTCTATCTACAAAACACTCTATAGCTGAGCTGACACGTCTTTTGCCAGGTTGTTGTGGTGTTATTTCGGTTAAATTGATGATGTTCGTCGACCTTGCTCGACCTAATTACTAATTAAACTGAGTGGCTGTCAGGGGCCAAACGGTCGAGGACAAAGGCGACTGGGAGAGGCGGCGGGACAACTACAATGTACGATAACAAGTCTATGGCGTCCTAGGAAAAAAGGTACAGACTTAGGACGAGGCATGGCGCTTTTTGGCAGCTACTATTGCAGTGTGGCTACACTACAGTAAGCACACTGGGTCACCCACTCCTAGTCCTCTCGATAAGTGTGTTAGGTTCTCAGCTTACGTGCTTTGACGCAATAAGCTGTCTCACATATACACGAAAAATAATTAATATGATCACATGTAGATCTAGTAAAACCTTGCCAAAGACAAACATAGATATTTTCAATCTACTTATGTCATGCCCCGACTCCATATCTACGTACCTACTGTAGGTCAATATATGGGTAGAGCTTTAGAAAAATAGAGAAAACGTATTGTAACAGACAGAAATGTACAGTACGCCGTTTACGTTCATATTCCTGTAGCCATAGCTGTTACAATTGACAAGTATTATTGTGTTGATTGCTTTTCATTGCTGCCATACATTGTACCCAAGGCCTATACAACTGTCGAGAAATAAAGTTCATTCATTCATATGGCTGCCGGCTTCATGTCACCATCCGAAATGACGTGTATACTATAGACAGTCACAGACTAACGTTCGAACGTAGATTACTCTACCACACCATTAAATATAGTCTGCTACTCTTTTGTTTTATCCGCATGATTTTGTATCTTTAAAAAGTAACAACAGAAACGTCATGCCAAATCCCCAAAATGACACACAGAATTCACACATTGAATATGCTTATTAATATCTTTTCTTGTTTTGCCTCTTACATGGCTTATTTTTAGGACGAAACCCAAAGCGTTACTTATAACACGTTCCCTAAATAGAAATCATAATTGCACTAGTGTATTATACGTGTTTTCAAAGAGCTTATAAGCTCCTTAGTAATCTAGATATTTTGTGACGTATTTCTAAAACTCTTTAGCATCTTGGTAACTTATTTGTAGTCGTGTTTGTGGCTAAAAAATGTTGCACTGGACGTCTTTAACAGATGCAGACATATGCCGTGCGAAATGGCAATATATTTAGCGGCAAGGCAAACCACACACCGCAATTATCACAAAAATAACACCCCATCATGATCATAATTGTTTGCGAAAATCCTTTTGTATGTCAAGGGCGTTAGTGAACAACAATTTGATGATAATACCACACCTGTTCACACTTACTGGAATTAGTAGTAAAAAAAGAGAATAAATACACAATAACACACACACGTAGACGTCCAATCAGTCGGAACTTTGTGTTTTAATCATGTTTGTTCATGATCCCGGCACAGCCCTTGTACAGAGTAATAAAAAGAGTCTTTACTCGTACACAGGTACACGGTACAAAACAGTACAGGTTTGCAACAGTTTTTTTCTGCAGTGTTTTCGACTGGCACTACAAGCATATGATTGTTGACATCGCAGTTTTTTTTAATATCATTTATGTATGATATCTCTAAACGCTGTAACTTCCTTTTGGAAGACGTTCTAAATGTACAATCGTGGAAAGTAGTTTGAAGGGGAGGTTTCTAGCACCAGGATCCCCCGTGTCACTAAAAAATGAAAGAAGTTTGATAGTTTCTGATTGTTCTGACATTTTGTTTGTTGTATTTTATACCGATACGACATTTGGTATCCCCTGCGTAACTTTGGTGATTACGATATAATATTAAAGTTCCCGCTAATCATCCCTAATTACCTAGGAATTTTTTTCCATCTACTTGATTGTCTATAGAATTATTATTAATTATTATTATCATAATTATAATATCGAGCAATAGTTTACATCATTTTTTTTTACGTCCGCGCCAAATATTGTTGGCGGGGCGGCGGCGAGTCTGGGAACAGCCATAAACAGTGTGCACATATAGTGATGACGTCAGGTGTTGGGTGTGACTTTGTGTCGTGGCTGTCACACCGCATCTCAAGTGCGCTACAAATATTTTGACTTGTTTGTACAGGAGCCACAACGCACTAATGGTAGAGACCCGGCTGGCTTGCAACCGTTCTAGCTGTAGTACGATACATTTCCAAATCAGCCCCCACAGCAAACTTCGAAGTATTTTGAAATTGCTGTTTTGAGTTGTGCTACCAAGGACGTTACACAGAATGCCCTTCGTGCTACTCAGTGTATTCTGGTGCAAGACTCCACAACATTTTGCTTCTTGTTTATAAGAAAACATTAAGTTGTAGAGGCATCAGAACACAGTAAATTTAAAGGAAAATTGTAATATCAAAACATCTGCTATGGAGGCAATGTTTAACATTTTTCGTAAGGCACATTAGGTTGCAATAAAAGGCACACTTGGTGCTAAAATTTAAAATTACGACTGGATAAAATTATATACGACGTCCTCACAATGTGCAACTGCTATCAAATGCTATCCCAAACTCGCCAATGCTACATATTCATTACCTAGATAATAACTAGTATAATAAACGTATATGGCTGAAAATTTACATATCCTTATAGTGAAAATTGACATATGTTGACGGTTTCACTTTGCTCCATGTACATAATAAGAAAACCTTATCATTATTACAATGATTTTGGCTTTTCCTCGCTTAAAAATGGATGCCTATTCTTAATATCTTCTTTTTAGTAAATTCTACTTAATACTGTCTAGGACGAGTATACTAAAACTAGATATAACTTTATAATGCCCCGAAGTAAACTTAAGACTAAATTAATTGGACGATGAACTTTTAAGGGCCTTATGCTATGTTCTTACTTAAGTTGAATATTTTACATTAGTTGACAGTGTTAACTGTATTTTAATGGTAGCTTGTCTACCGCTATATTTACAAGTCTCCTCTCTCTTTCCTTCTGATCTCTCCGCTTTCTTTTTCCCTAGAATTTTCTTGCTTTTAATCTCAGTTCACGTGAGAAAAAGTATAGCAAAACCTTCTTGGTAAAGTTGGTATAAAAAAAACAACCTCTAAAAGTGGAAAATACAGGAACACTAGCAGCAAGATGTTATATCATAAAAAATTAATAAATTACAGGGTTGAGGTTTTCTTCTTTTTTTTCTTTCACGGTGGTATGAGAAGCAACTGTGCTAACATTATGTGATTAGCACTTCGTGTGAGCAGGCAGACACATGCTTGAGCTTCAGGGGGTGTGGGGGAAATTCACCGGGCCGAATTGATCGAGAATTTTCTGCTGCCAGGACCAAATAGTGGGGACCAGAATAGCCCTGCGGACGGCTGTTGTTTTGATTGATACAGAGAACAGCTGGGTGTAACAAGTGTACCTCCCTCCTGTTGTGAAAAGTGACATGATACTCGTGCTCAGACATAACATCGTGGATTTGCATAGTGTTTAAATACCCTCTAGTTACCAGCTCGGCCTTCCCACAATTCCCTTCGGTGGAAAAGTCCCGTGATCCCTCGCGGTCAAGTTCAAATTGGTTCCCGTTGTTTGTTTGTGCTTGTTTGTTTACTGGATGCGTTCCTGTATCTGCTGAGGTTGGTACTGGGCGAAGTGAGCCGAGGTGGCGGATAAGGCAGGCTGCTGGACGGCGGCGTAGCCGGTCTGGGCGTAGGCGGCGGGGCTGAGGTACGCGTGCGCCGCGTAGCCTGCCGGGTACTGCTCGTACCCCGCCGGGTACTGGCCGTAAGCCGCGGCGTAGTCGATGTACTGGGCCGCCGCGGAGGCTGGCGGGGTGTGCGGCGGGACGATCAGGCCAGGCTGCTGGGCGGCGGCGGCCGTCACGTACGCCTGGGGGTAGATGTACCCCGGCGGCAACCTGCAGATGGAAGAAAGAAAACGTAACGTTAGTACAGAAATATGAGATTATATTGATGATGCAGAGAAGTGTTGGTGCTCTAAAGTTACAACTCGGATCACACGGCAGCACGACACAAGGCTGGTCCAACACGGGAGTAAAAAAACCAGGGGGTGCACGAAAGCAAAATACAACCAGAAAAACACAACTGGAAAATCTATGTGCGAGTGAGATCACAAAATCCCACACTGAGATCACAACAGGGCACGGGTAGTCAGATCACACCAGATCACGCTGTGGATGTGAAAGGGTATCAAGACGCTGTGAGCCGCCCTGACTCCTATATATAGAAAACGTCCATGCCTGTTAGTGTGTATCCGCGACCCACCGCAACAAACACACTGTAAGAATCCAAAGACTTTAGTAATAAAAAAAACGCCATGCTGTATATTTTGTCATAAAGGATATCGGGAGATATCAGTTATCAAACGGGTGAATGCACGACCAAAGCGGCGAATCTCCAAGCAGAGGTATGGTATCGGCTTCCTTTTATGCGTCTCTTGGATTGACATGTGTTCAAATGATGGAAAAGACGCAGAGAAGCGAGCCGAAACCGTACGTCTGCTTGAAGATCCCGAAAAGCTGCCCTCCCCACCGACTCGGATGCACCCGTTCCCCGGGAAACCGTCTTCGGAGTCCGCTATGTTCTCTGCCGAATTCCTTCAATGGTGAGTAGCGAGGTTCCCCTACGCGTAAGCGTTCCTAGGAAGAACAATTTAGCGGCTTGTGAATGTGAGGTGGGTGCCCAGGCCAAAAACCATCGGCCTTAGTAACGCTAAACCTAACGATAGACCAAAATTGGTTTGTTTTGGCGGTAAAGTCTATTTAAAGGTCCTTGTCACCAAGTCAGGAGTCACAACAGTCGTGTGTTTTGGTCACTACGCAGCGCCCCCCCCTCCTTCCAAAGTCCCTCCCTCTTAAAAACCTTCTTCTATCCTTTACTCTGTCCACAGTGTTACATACAAATTTGTTCACATCCAATAAGGGGACAAATACGTCTAGCCAACAGTTTATTTGTCGCCTCTCTGCATGCCCCTCCTTGGGCCTTGGGGAGGGGTTACCTTAAGGATTAAACGTCTTAACGACTGTTGCCCCCGTTCTTTAAGACAAAGGGGTAAAAGGGAGGGATTCCCTCATTGTGATGTCTTTTTGCAAAGCTCTGGCTTTTCCAGCGGTTGAACTTGAGTCTTATGAAATAACCAACGAAGCAACGATAACATCTCTACCTGCTAACTACTATATATTTTAGAGGTACCAAAAGGGTCTAGGAGGGGGGCTTGGTGGGTTTGTTAGAGGGTGTACTATTAATGGGAGCAGCTGAGTACAGCGTGGAATGGTGTGCAAACTTTACTCTCTCACTCCTGAGTGTCGAGTAAGTGTGCTAACTTCGTTTTCGCCTACTTTTCTCGTGTGGCCCAGACGTGGATCGAATGTTTCATTGTGCGCGAGTCAAATTTCCGCACGGGTTGGTTTGAGGCTCGGCGGAGAGTCCCCGGAGTTTTCCCCGCCCATTGTTGCTGCCCTTTTCGGAGCTCTATCCCTTCTTGATAAGAGAGGGAGATAGGCTCCATCGGAGACGATAAGAGGAATCCCACCCTTTCCATCACTGCCTCTGAGGAGAGGCATGGCCAAATTGGGACTCGAACCCAGCACGCTTGGTGCATGTACTCACACGAGCTTCTCACGGCATTCTGACGAAACACGTCACATTTCAGCGACACAAACATCCCCAAACCAATTTAATAAAACGGCATTATCTCCCTGTTAGGGTAATTACGTGCTCCCATGCTGCAAGGCGGCATTAGGGGTGGGAGGGGGGCGTTATTATGATCTTGAAGGTCACCAAGCGTGTCGCCATGTTCTATGGAGTGGCGTGCTCTTGTGGCCACAACAAAGAGAGAAGAATAAAAAGGCTCGAAATTTCTGACTGCACACTCAAGTTGAGTGGCTTCCTGACGTCACACTTCCGTGAAATTATTACCGTCGGGGACTTCGTTAGCATTTTGCTGCGGTGATTGACATCGCAATGTAAAGAACGAGGTTTTCGCGAAAGGAAAATGGCGGCTGTACATGACAGGTGCAGCGGTTAGAATGCCGCCGCGTGTCACACAGGCTAGCCCTATACATCATCCTCTAACACTGTTTGAAGGGCGATTCTAACGTAACAACTTATTCCTTTCCTTTTATAGTCTTACTCAACAGCTTGGCAAAAGTAAAATTACTTCACAAAAGTATCAAACATGGCCATATAGTAATTTAGGTTCACTACATGCGTCGGTTTCTTTGCTGAGCATACATGAGTCATGGTTTTCTGGTAACTGTACGTGTTCGGAAGTGGGAAACTATGGCAGCAGTCGGGTTAGCCACGGAATGAAGAGTGTTTGTTCAGAGAACAAGCGACACGGCTTTAATAGATTGACTGGAGGGACGATCCGATTTTTTTCTCTCTCTGTGTTGAAGGACTGTTTGTTTTAGATATTGTCTGGCCACGCCACAGTCCAAATACAAGGCGTATTGTCGCCGTATCTGTGCCGTGCTTTCAGGCATTTGTGTGGCTCCGTGTTTGGCGGGATATTTCTGGGACAAAGCCTCTTCCGAGCAGGATGAATGGAAGGGTGTTGGGTCCATTGTTCCGGCTGTGTACTTTGCTGTTCTTTGCGACCGGCGAAGATCGTTACAGTGTGAGGCTATTAGGGCCCAATTATTCTTGACATTCAGGACAAGCATCAGGAGGCTAACGAAGCTTGAAATGAGTCAACACGCAGTCCCCTCCCCCTACTTTTCAGCTGTACCGCTGACTTCTGCTCCCCTTTTCACGCCACGCGGTAGTAGCCCTCACGTGTCCCTACTCCTGCCCTGAAAGGGGCCTGATTTGAAAGGAGGCTGTAAATTTCACTTGTTCACCTTTTTAAGACAACAGACGAAACATCAACACAGATTGACAGATAACACGGCTAGCATAGCTACGTCTCGGGGGTTACCTGGTAACCACCCTACTGTTTCTCCGCAGTTTCTTACAGCTGACAATCCGCTAAAGAAAAGACGGCAACAGTCACAAAGGCTTTTTTGAAGGAGGTTTAGTGGTGCGAGAGAAGAAATGGCTCCAAGGCGTGTGTGTTTTATAATGGTTTGTTAAGGGGGGAGGGAACGAGGGGGGTGACCCACTGGTCTTTCAGAACATAAGCCAAAAATTGCCGCTATCTTCGTCGAACACAAAGCGGTTAAAATGTGGATTGATTTGAGGAAACACAATATCTATCCGCCATGATACACACTATCTCACCCCTATCGAAGTATGTTTCAGGCCTTGACCCCTCAGTATTTTATCATATCTTATTTTTCGTATTTAGAACAAGAGTGTCCTATTAAAGAAGGGACCATAAAATCAGCTACATGGGGGTCATGACCTTTCCGGAGGTCACGCAAATCCGGTAGCAGAATTTTGTTTTTTTTTTCCTGGTTGCTGAACACGAGTAGACTTGAGGGGGTACGGTAGAATCGTGGCACGGTTTAGTTAGTACTAGACCTAGGCTTGAGCTCCCTCCCAATATCGATCGAAAGTTAAGCTGTAACTGTAACACTAGCTCGACATTCGTGCGGCGTCAAAGTACGCTGGCTCAACCTACCAATCCCAGACAGTCGTCACAGAAAAATATTTGTCTCGCTAACTTTCGATATATTCTCACAGCGATAAGGAGTCATGAAGTAGAACAAAGTCTAATACTATAGTCTATTAAACATTGAATGAAGGAAAAATATATAACTATAAGGTTGTAGCGAGTGTTGCATACATGTAAGTACATGCCGCAAACAGTCATGGCTAAATTTGGGAATCATCCCGGTTATGTGAACGGTGGCGTCCAGAAATGCGAGCTATCGGGCCGCGGCTATTTTGGGCCTCATGCACTGCGCCCCTCTAACACACACGCGGGAACCAACCGACTAGGAAAACAAATGGCCGGTAACAGCCCCAACTAATACAAGCACGGCAAAGAACAAACAACCGGACCACTAAATACAGGCAAAGCAACACCGCACTGCAAAAAAACCTGCTCGGTCGTGGAATGTGAAATTCGTTACAATTTGTTATATATTATATAATATAAATATATAACACAATAAAGGCACGCAATTCACACGCCAACAAAATAATTATTCACCATAGCTCTAGTCTCTAGCCCAGGGCCATGGGTTCACTTATATATTTCTCTCTTTCGATTGTCTTGTCTCATCTTGCTCTGCCACAATATACACCACTGCCATAAAATAAAGACATAACAATGACAGTCAAATATGGCGACTGGTCGGGAGCGAAAACAAAAATAAAAAATAAAATAAAAAATAAAAAAAGAAGCTCAGAAGGGCAATCTTGTGTTTTTGTTGTCAGTAAAACAGTTGTAAACAGAAGAAAGAACCACATAAAAAAAGTACCTTAAGCCCCTTCACGTCAAATCGACTCGTCCGAGCCAAAGACAATACAGTTTCGCCACTCAATCAAAATTTAATACTATTTAGGGCAGAGGTTCGAATTGGTCTTTATAAGTGTGAATTGTGAATACGGTAGCTAGAATAAACAAACTAGATCTTACCCGTACTGGCTTGGGAGATATCCGGGGGGCACTGCCCTAATGCCAAAACCAAACCCTAGAAAAACAAGAGAACATGTATGTGTGAAGGTATTATATGATATGAGGCGCATAGTTATGGTCTATTGTATGGGGAGGGTGATACGTGACACCTATGCAAATGACTCGTCGAATTGAAAAGCGTGCTTGTTGCAGGGGTATCCTCTGTGCATATGGCTTTTATTCGGCGGGTGATATATTACACAGTATCTTTTTCTCTTGTGTTGAAGGCCTATTCACGGAGAGCCAAGTTGAGACGAATAGAGAACGAATGCCCCCCGCTTTGCTCCGTTGGCGACGAGGCAAAAGGCGGTCGCCCGTGCTTGACAACGCAGGCACGGGGGCAGGCGACCGGCCGCCCGCGCGGTCTGATCAAGCCTTACCTGGCTGCGTGTTCCTAGGCTTCGCTCCGATGTACGCGAGGTTGACGTTGGCTTTTCTGCCGTCGATGATGGGATTTGGGTCCTTGCAAGCCTTTTCGGCGGCCTCTCTGGTCGCCATAGTTACCTACAGTGCAAGGGGGCGGCAGGGAAGCGAAACACCCGCGTTACAGAGCGTAAAGAACCTGTTCAAATAAAGCGACTGGAGCGTTAAGCATGTGTAGACCGGAGTGGGACAAACCGTGTCGCGAAAAACACAGCCATGTAGTAAAGACAGAAACACGCACACACACACACGTAAAAAAAACTGCACTTACGAAGCCATATCCCCTGGACTTGCCAGTCTGCCTGTCGGTGATCACTACGGCCTCTTCGATCTCGCCGAAGGTCTGGAAGAAACTCCGTAACGAGTCGTCGGTGGTGTGGTAGGGCAAGCCCCCGACAAATATCTTGGTGAAAGTTGTGTCCTTCTGCATATTCATGCCTGTAGTGTAAAGTCCGGGAGAGTTAGTCTCTCGCACGCTGGTAGAGTGGACGGAATAGGAAAGGGCCTGGGAAGGGTCTCCCCGCAACGGAGCTACAGAGTCGGCGGTGTCAGGTCTGTCCGGGTCCCGGGCTAGATCATTGACCGCGCGGTGCAAGGGGCTCGGCGAAAACGTGTGCGCACTTCGGGAGGACCTCACGGCTGACTGCGTAAAATAACTCGGAACTGTCACCAAACTGTACTGCGCGCCCTCACAAAAGTTAGCCCCGCCCCTTTTGCATTAAGTGACCACGAGCTGTCAATCAAACGACCCCAGACATGGCGCACAAAACCCGCTAATGAGGACGTCCTACCGCCGGTTGACCAATCAGAGGCCGTCCCCAGACAAACACACCCGACCTGGTGTTTTCGCGACCTGCGATCGGCACCCGATAACGACTCACCTGTAAGCTTCCTTACGAGACTCACAGCGTAAGACTTGAGAAATACCCCGGCCTACTAGTCCTGGCCTGCCCCGCTTTTTTTGGCGGCGTTCCAAATAAGACCTTCGCTCGTAGATCTCAACAATGACCGAATGGGATTCGAACCAGTAACCGTGGGGCAACATACCCTGCGGTGCTTCCACCTGCTACACAGGAGGGGGCATTACCTAAATAATCACAAAACACCTCTATCTCCCACCTATGGTGTGTATGCAAAACACACACACACACACTGTCTTACTCGTACAGAATTAGGAATAAAAGTGCTGCTCTGAAATGATGACATTGGGATTCGAACCCGTGCCTTTTAGTTCAGCCTAATGCGTGAACAGAACGCGGTTTACGACTGGTTGTGTCTGACAGGTCGTTAGTTGTACCCACCGCGGGCCCACACTCTCTTATCACCCGACTCTAACATACGACTACAAGAAACCCCCTCCGGGTGTTTTCTACAGTATGTGAGCTGCTCGCCACAACAAAGTTCTGGGGACACACATGAGACCTTGTTAAACGTACCACAGAAACCCTGCTGAGTTTGTGCACTCTGCTGCTCAACCCCCCTCCCCACAAACACACACATGGAACATGTATGAACCGGGCTTGCCAATGCACCTGTCTTGCTTCAAAAACAGCTACAGAGATACACCTGTTACACCTAAAGCACCTGATACACCTTGTTTCGAACTAGAGAGTAAAAACTATGCTGCTCATATTTTCTGAAAGGATCGAAAAAGAAATGTTTTTTTCTCCCTCTCTTTCAGCGTTAATTGCCACAGAAGGACGTGTGTTTGAATGTCATGTGAATCGCCAAGCAAGCGGCCGTTGTTCTTTTGTGGTCTGACACAAACATTAATCATTGCACAGCCTGTCTGTTCGCTGTGGCGGGAGCGAGCGTTAAGTTCAAGCTACACACTGGTAAACACGCACTGGGTGTTCGCATGTTCCTAGCTGTTTTAACCAACAACGTATTGTCAGGTTTAAACTCAGCGCACGGTAACCCACTTGTACCACTCCCGGAAGTAAGTTAACACTCCAACCCACCGTATTAAAGAGTTAATAGACATCTTTCAATGCCAAATTACATGATTTTGTTACCCTGTATACTAGTGTATAGTAGCTCTATCGAGGTAGCATGAAGGGTGTACTATAAAGGCATGTACCGGCGCGACTCGTGTATGTAGCCAGCGGGGTGAGGGCTGTGTTTAGCGACGGGAACACGCATAGTTTTCGTCCGGTCACAACTCGCAGGCCGCGCGGCGGCCGAACATAATTTAATTGAGCGTCCTTAATTTCCCCCACACATCCGTAAGCAAGGATGATTAGGGTGTAATTGCTATGGTCTTAGGGTGGAGCAGCGCTCACAATGGCCGTGCCCTCCACTGGCAGGTGTGTAACACTGCAATTTCGTACTTTTGTTGTACTGTTTTCTGACTCTTAGTTTGGCCTGACAGCTCAGTATAAGATAGTCTAAAACACAGGGGTCAATAGAATACCATAGCAATGGGAAAACATCAGCCCAAAAATGGTAATACAAAAATAATCTCCAAGCAGATCTTTTGGTGGCTGCAATATATAGCATCAAGTTGGAAAGACACCGTAGCCTCTACCAGGCTTAGGGAGCGGCAAAATGTTCTTTTAGGGTGGACCAACTCCCCTGGCATATTATCTGTTTATTTGGCAAATTTCTACTCTTTCACGCCGCTTCCTGAAGCCTGGTAGATGCTATCAAATTGCCAAGGCAGTATTAAATACGCAACCTGTAAAAAAAGACACCAGTACAAAAAAAGCAGGATAAAAACGCCACAAAACACGTGAAAAATAAGACGAAGCCTAAACGTCTGCATGAAGACTAACACAAGAAGCCTGTTAGAGGCTACCTCACACGAACAGGCTGTGGGCGGCCGCCGGACTGTAAAATGACCACAACCGATGAATTGGGTCCGGCCTTCTGGTCATTCTGCCACCGAGGATTGTTCCAAAACACCTGGAAACTTTAAATATCTCTCCCGCACCCGTTTGGTAAAGGCTGTCGCCCTGGCTCAGAAAACAAGAAACAGAATTTTGGGGATCGTTCAAAATAACACCGAGTTGAAGAAAAAATATAGAAGAAATATGCAGTAAACCCAGAAAGGAAAGTCGTATAGTTGTCTGTTTTGTTTCGAACTATTAAAAGACCATTATATGAAAGTAGGACAATGTAGTAACTGTCATTTCTTTACACAGTGAGATAAATTATTACGGTAAGAAAAAATAATTGACGTTGTCTGTTTTGTTTTGGAATGTGTGATCGCTGTGTTGTTATTGCACCATTGTTGTACTATATTCGTCCTGTTATTGTAGAGGAAATGTCATGTGCTTGTTGAGGGCGAAAGGGTCAAGATGACAACATCCACACGTCCATTCAGTGTTTGTTGACAAATTTGAACTATCGATTTTCATATCTACGGTACTGTATTAACATAGTTTGAATATTGATTATAACATTGAACCTAAAGTATGTCAAATGTCATGGAAAGTTTAGAGTATGATACAGCATTTTGGATTTGGTCATAAGGGGGGATAAAATTTCTTTTAATTCGATCATTCTGCTAATAGCCGAATATGGCCTTCCGAACACTAGCCGAACTCTCCTCAACCTTGCCCCAACCATGGTTAGGAGTAGGTCGGGAGCAAGGTCGGCTGTGGATGGCTGGTGGTTGGCTAGGAGTAAGAAAGCAGTGGTCGGGGTGTGGTTGGGAGTAAAATTTGACACAAATTTAACTCTATTCGTATGGAAAAGAATTGTATCAGACTGATCCCAAATTTCAGCCAACTTAGGTTCGTTGGTAATTGGTGGAAGGTTCTGAATGTGTGACAGGGGCTTTACTAATATAATATATGCCCCATGGCCAGGTCATGTAGGCTAATTATTAGGGGCCAAGTGTAGGTTTAAATGTCATATACATATAAATATATATATTATCTGTCACCCAGAGGGAATCTATTGACACAAAAACTAACCTACTTTTGGTAAATTGAATGTAATTGAGTCTCTAGATCTTCACTCCGTCTGGACCCTGCAGTGTGGGCCGAGGCGGGAAAAAAAGTATCGTTTGATTATGACGTCAGTATCACAAGGGCTATAACGAACATTTGTGGACCAAATTTGGCATTGCGACATACATATTGGGATATATGACATAGGTTCTGTTCTATATCAAGATAAGAGAATATTTTATGCTTCAATTATCAAAATTAATTTTTTTACTTTCTCTGAATTTTGATAATCTACTCACTATACTTTTGTCGTGTCAATAAAAGTGTATTAGAATAGAAACCCAAAGTGTATGAGAACGTCTTTGTTTTCGAATTTCAAATATTTTCATATTTTCGAATATCTCAAATTCTCAAGCCATTCACACTCTATCCTCCATTTTTTTGAAGAAAATTTTGCTAGGATACGAACTTGCCTTGTAACCATTAGTGACTGCTTTTAAGTCAAAAGTAATGTATGACCGTTATATTTTAAAGTTGAATGTCTAAATATGTTGTCATCCTTTTTGAACTGCTGTAGACACTTGTTAACCTTTTCCCTGCTGCCTTACCCATAACCTGTACAAATTTGGTGCTAAATGTCAACCTCAGCAGTCTAAAGGTTAATCCTACTCTTGTCGGACCCTTTCTAAGCAAAGACAGCCAGAGACGTGGCCCAGCACCTTGACCTACTATCGATTAGCCGCCATTTTGTTTACAAACGAAGGTCATATCATTTAGCACCCGTCAAACACACACGACGGACAAACAACATTATCAAATTGATCTAATTTCGGGAAGTAATTTTTTCTGACCGATTGTTTAGCGTAATTAGAGAGGGAAAACTCCAGGTTTCGTACTTTGGATCTTTGTGACAAGACCGTTTTTGTTGACGTCTTGCTATTCCTGACCTTGAAGAAGTGATGAAGGTCACACATGTCAACAGGTGGTTGAAGAGACATACAAAGTATGGAGAAAATATAGGTTAGGGCTGTAGCCTCCCCCCCCCAAAAAAAAGAGTTTGTATTATATCTATGCCATGTTTTTGAACTCCGTGTTGCAATAAGCGACACCATATTGTAAATAGCTGATATATCTCCTGAATTTAATAGAATTTAATAATAATCTCCTCAAGAAAACACATCATAGATTAGCTTTATTATCTTTATGAATCAGCTCTGTTAGAATTTCATTTTCGTATTGCTCATGCATCTACCCTTGTTTCTTATTGGCCATACATTGCACCAGTTACAGTTGTTGAGCAATAAAGTTGATTTGATTTGATAAAACTAGCAGATACTGTGGAGACGTAAAATGTTCTATCTACGCCGTTTTCTCCCGCCCTCAACAACTAGATTCAAACCAGCACACTGACCGCTCGCAAAACTGTTACAGTTACCTGTCTATAGATCAGTATCAGATAATGCACAGGGAGAGGGCACCTTTTATTAAAGAAGCTGTCTTGCCCATGTTTCTCGTCTCTTATTTCCAGTAACGTTAGATGAAGACACACACCGGGAGAGTGGTTGGATCCTGAGTGCTATCCCCCCTGTTTAGGGTTGGGTCGCTCCTTTTGTTCCTGACCCACTTTCCTGTGTTTTGTGTTGTCAGTTGATGACTTTTTAGCTGATGGACGGTCGAGGGCAATCTCCAAGCAGATACACGGTGTCTTCTCATTTTGGCGCGTCTTTTCGTGCATTTTGAGGCGGTCTTAAAAAGTTGTTTTTCAGT